GCAGAGGAGGTGGAGGAGGAGGAGGGTGTAAATGATAACTGCCCTCAGCTCTGATAGGCTGGAGCGAAATAAATGGACAAGGATTTAGTTTGGATTAGCATTAGGATTACACGTCATAACGTCATATATTTGTAATAGTTATTGTAAATTATTAATTATTAGTTGTATTGTGGATGTTGACTAGTGTCGTGTTATTGTATTGTGGATGTTGACTAGTGTCGTCAAACAACAGGATCTGTTCCATTTCATATGTGGTGCGTGAAATGTACGAAATAATAAAAAAAACATTAAAACATTAAAAAAAAAACGACTGAGTCACAGCGGATTCATTTCAACTTCAACTTCGTCACCAGAATAAAATGAAACATCGGCACTGAAATTACAGTGACATGTCTCCCTCTACTGGTCTCTTTAGGGAACTACGACCTGTTCCTCGGTCGTTCATTTTTATTTTTAAGAACTTGAGCTAACAAGTGTTTGGCCTCATCTAACCATAAAACTAACTGAAACATATATAAATATAGGCGACACATTTAGAATATATGAGGAAAACACATTTAAAACCTTAACAACAGTCGGTAGTTGAAGTGTGTTTATACCAAGGCCACGGCGACTTCAACCACATTAAACCATCAGGATCTTGCGGTACTACAGGTAAGCCAGCAGGGGGCAGCACTACTACAGTAAAAGCTACAACTCACAGGTTCTGCTCTCTGTGGTTTACTTCCTGAGATGGAACTGTTTTTATAGACATTAAACCTTATTAAAATAGTCCAATAAAGACAGTGGACACAGAAATCTGTCTCTTAAAAAAAACAACTTAAATAAGGACACAGAACCTTCACAGCCACAGCAGTGGACCTGGTAACTGGACACATAGTCTACATGGGCTGGATCACTACGTGTGTATGGTATGGGTTGGATCAGAGGGAAAAATACCTCTTGATACCCCCCTGTCTCCTCCTCCTCCACCTCCTGAACCAACCTCACTCTGGGTCAGGAACCCACTGA